AGACAAACGTTAAACAGGTTTTTTGCACTGCTAAAACGGACCAAGGCGGTTGGGAGGTTGGGTAATCACTTGGTTTTCTGGAATATCATTATCCGTCCATCTGCGCCCAAGCCCTTTATACGAAAAAAATTCGTCCAGTCCCCTAAGATAGACAAGTCTGTGGTTTACTTCTGATTGGAAGGTAGAAAATTATAGGTCCGGTTTTCCACATAATGCTTACACAGAGAGAGTATTATTATACCTGTGTCAGGCAGACTTCTTACATCCACATCTGTTCTAACGTCGTTGTTTCAAAGTTTTGCTCAGTCTAACCTATTAAAGATTCTACCAGGAGGAGGAATATGAGAAGTGAATGACTGCTGAGCTTCGCTTTGCCAAAACATGGACGTCAACCCTTTTTGGGTAATCCTTCTCCTGGTTCGATGTAGACGTTATTGTACGTTCCAAATGTACTGGTATCTTCCTCATTCTATATATGAGTTCTTAAATTTTATCACTGGTAGAACCAAAGATAAAGATTAATGCAAGTAACTGGTTTGGTCAAGAATACGTAGGATAATCCTGTTCAGCCAGGTAAAATGCTGGTAAAAATTAATTTGTTCGAGTGTGTGTTGTAAATATTTCCCCGGATTTTTGTAGAGATTTCTTGTTGCTACCAAATGTTTTTTTCCAGGTAAACCACGAGCGATTTCGTTCCGGGACATTGGGGAACGTATCACTGGGCTTGCTGTCATTGGAGCAAAATACGAGCGTGAGCTAAAAACGGATGAAGTTTCCCCAGTCATAGTGGTTTTCTTTTCAAATAAGAATCGATGCAGTGCGCTCTCTTGGTGTCACACAAATGAGAAGATAACTTTTGTGACAGCGGTCACATTGTCAAAGGTGATCTAGCAACCTAAGTGTAGACAATAAATTTCTATTTGTGATCTTATCACAGTGAGCGCATTATTGAAAATACTGGATGACTTACTGTGGTCTGGCACAGTTCACTATTAAGCTTCCCTTGAATTTTTCAATCGACTTTTATGAAATAACTTCATATAGATTCCCTTGCAGTCTGTTCTGGAATAAGGAATTCTATGCGGGCTAACTCAGGATTACAGAAGACACTTTAACTACTGATTACTTGACTGTGTGACTGCTTTGTGTTCTCACTGATAGCCAACTCACATACGATAGATGTCCCCTGAGCATTTTACTCACAAGAGTGTACGAACAATATACTGGGAACAGTTGAGTAAATATATAAAACTTACTGGTTAGCTTTCAGAAAACAAATATGTCACAGTCTGTTTCATAAGACACTGAAAAAACCGGGATAAGCAATAAAAACTGCAAGAGAAACAAGGCTGATTTAAATTTGTGTCCAAAATACAAATCACACCACGTGGTTTAAATGAACTTTTAACCTCTGCATTGAGATTGTAAATGAATGGATGGCGTTTGTCCACAAATGTACTGCCTGAAAACAACATTTCTCAACGTAAGCTCCAACCTACAAAAAAGTGAATACGTTGTTTGATCACGTATAGAAAATATGGGGAAGAAAACTTTGGAAATGACCTGGCGGGGATTGTGAAAAAACAACGGGTTTTTCGTTCTTCTTCCTTGTTGTCCTTTAAGAACGTCGAAGTGACCAGTGGAGGCACCGTATGCTAATGTATTCGCGGTACCAAAAGAACACGTCCAGCTCTTTCAGCTTGTTGGGATATTTAGGATCTTTTAACCACAGACACAGAACAAAGGCTGAAAAGTGGGGAAAAATAACCGAAAGATTTGTGAACAGCACCTGAGTAAACATAAAGATGTCAGAGGTATCCCATATTGTGGAAGTGTTCACCGAAACAAACTCAAGCAGCTTTCGAGTGGTGAAGTAAATGTGAGAAACCTAGCTTGTTAGAAAGGCTGTCTGAAAATTAACGGATTAGTATATTACCTTGCAAAATAGTTAACTTATTACTACGACTTCCTTAATAGGCTAGAATACCAAAACTTTAATTTCCAAAAATCCGCATCCTGCATGAAGTAAACTGTAGTTGTTTAGTACTGATGGTTAACATGATCCTTAAATTCACATTAGATGGAAATGCCATGTAGTAATTGTTGGCACTTTCTTATGCACACAGATGAGCCAGTTCTATCAAGGCCAATAAAAACGTAGTGATTAGAAGGTTTTGAATTCAAGCCACATTAGAATTTTCCTAATTTGATTCCAGAAATCCTCAATAGCTACTGGCACCGAACATTTCAAACGGAATTCTATCTCCACTTCTGATATACCTGTGGTCAGTATAGTTTGGTGTCTGTGTTTTAAACTCGTTTGTAATAATTACGGACAAACAATTCTCAAAGAAGCGCATCATTTATCCGGAAATAAAACAACAATCCGAGTGGTTCCAGAAGAGAAGCAGAAATCACACAGCTTCCTTATTTAAGAGACGGGGTTTCTTCTAACGAGCTGTAATATTCTACTCGAATGCATGGTTTTCATTAGGGAACACTTGTTTGAAGCATGAGTGTGAACCATGTGTACACAACCGATCGCCCAATTTCTGACCAGATGCGTTTCTTTTGACCTTTGCATAGGTGATAATGTGTTTAGTTAAAATCTTTGGCCCCTATATGCTAGTGCAATGTTCCTCCGTATTTGAACTTCAAAGAAAACTCAGTTTAATTAGTGTGGTAAGCGAATGTTCTGGGTAGATATTATGGTGAATTTTTAAAGTTCTGTCCCAGCTGTGAGATCCATGTACGTTTTCAGTTGTCTCATATCAGGTTCAGGTCGTGCTTCTTCTAGACAGCACGAATTCTCATGTCACTGGTAGAAGCGTGTGTTCGCGGAGGATACAAGAACTAAGACAAAATTGGAACTTCACAGCAGTTTGTTGAAGGAAAGTTAGGCCTGTTGCTCTCTTCAAGTAATCACAGTGCGACACGTGTTGCAAAAACTAAAATGTATGATATGCGTTTCAATGGGGCAGATCAAAGTACCTCAAACCCGGCTTCCTATTTTGCACGTATGGCACGTAAAACCCGTAATTTCAAAATCAACATGTATAAACATGGACGTTCACTTTTGTCATCTCCGGTCTATAGAAACTACCACGAAAGATTTTCCACAGAACCAATTCCTCAAAATGTATTTAGAAAAAAGCTTCATTAGGATTGAGCACCAACGGAGAGATGGGAAATCAGTTGTTGCTTGACATGCACAACGGAGCCTTCACAGAGCCTCCGACAAAACGGTCTCCTGATACCCGCTCACCAGCTTCTTACGGTCCACACCAAACGCTAACCAGTTGGAATAAGACTAAACCAAAAATGAGGTTCTCTATTAGATGTATTATGATTTTGGCAGTACCGTAGCCTCGTTTACATTTTCTTCACGAAGTCTCTCCCATCCTGTTAATGGAAAAATTTTGAAAATGCTTTCCAGGTCCACGAATCTATAAAATCATACCGTATTAAAAGTATAAAGTTTGGAATTTTTTTGTAGCGATAACTGATGAGTATTATTCATAACTTCAAACGGAAATTTACTCAAAATATCTCTCAATACTTACCAACGCAACAGAATACACCACCAATTATGAATTGCGTAAACGTTTGTCCATGCAGTTGCGGAACTCGTGTCAGGACGGCAGCCAGAACTCCACCAATTATCTGTAGTTTTACGCAAGCGACATGGTTTGACACAATGAAAAAGCTTTGCTGGCTGATTATTACCTGACGTCATAAAACGGTTACACGAAATGGGATGCTTTGGGGCCTACGATACTGTTAGGGTCGATGGCTAATTTGGATGACAGTGCTAGTTACAAGGAAACGAGCAAGGCCACTGTTTTTGTTCGAAATCCACAACCTTCTGCTGAATGAGAGTACGTTTTGTGGTAAATCCAGTGTTTACCGACTGACTGGTAGCATTATCAAAGGCGTTTAAAAGGAGCAGGAAAGTTCATGCTACAGTGGTGGGGACGCGTTTGACTCCCATTTAAATGAGCTGTGATGATGCTTCGGTTGATTCTTCAAGTCGTCTCACTGACGTTAGTCATACATTTGCATGATACTTAACGCACAAGTTCCGACATGAAAACTGGTGTTTTACAGTTTGGCCTTTATCATTAACAGCATGACAAAAAGTGGGACAGATATACCACACAATTGTTTCAACCAGTAGGGTTCTCCGCCCCGAGACAGCCAAAAAGTCCTCCATGGTCCACGTCAAGACCATAAACATCAGATGAATCAACAACGTAAGCAAGCATTCACATCTGAAAGTTATTTAACCGTTAAGATTGACCACTGAGCGATTCACCTTTTACTTATTTGCCAAAATGTGACCAGTAAAGTAAACAATTTTTGTTGGTTCATTCTTCAGCAACAGATCTCACATTCAAAAGTGCCCTTATCTGAGTTACGTAACAAGGCAGGCAGTTGGGTTGCAGTCGAACGTGACCTAAACTCCATTTTTCCTTATTAAAAATGCTTACCCATGTAACACTGTTAGTTAGTAGCTACTTGTTGTCTCGGCACAAAATGAGGAAAAAACAGTTGTCCTAGAAAAACATGTCGTTTTATAAAGCCCCTCATTTATATGAAACAACTATTCATAAACAACGTGGCGGATATACTTTGGTGAGATACATTGTGATTTACTGTTATTTGCTGTGAAATTCGTATGTAGAGCTAGGTAATCAAAATTGACGTTTAGGCTCAATATCTTAATCCTGCTTGTTAATAGGAGCCGTGTTTAAATAGCCATCAGGTAATCGGCTATCCTCAATGTAAAAGCGATTCTCGTAATCTGGATGACGATTTCTCCACATATTCATTCACGATCGTTGCCCTGCTTCGGCCGCTCTGAAAAAGGCGATGTCTTATGCCAACTTCGGAAGCCAGAGTGCTCAGCAATAAATTAGGAAACGCTTGTTTTGAACACGTTTGGTGGGTAATCGCACAGATTTTTTCGAAAGAAAACAACCGGAGATTGAAACTTACAAATGCGCTATATATAAGGCCGAAATTGATGGTCATGTTCCGCGATCCATAAAGGGCGTTGCTGGCAAGCGGTGTGAAGACGAACACTCCGCTTAGGCAGAAGAACATTAAACAGACCCAAAGCGCATATAAACCCTTCAACAGAGACCCCTCGAATCCAGACAGGTGTGGAAACGTAACCAGCAAGATAGTCCAGACAAGAAGTAGGCAACACAGTGGTACCTGAACCGGGAGAAGATGCAGAAGCGGAGACAAAACAAAACAATGCCATCATGACGGTCACAGCTGTGCGGCCAGAGTACAAACTTTTAGCTATTCGATTTACGGTAAAATAATGCGAATATCCAGCGGTCATTACCAGAATAGCAGTTTGTATAGTACCAATGTGACACGCATATTTTTTAGATTTTTTTACATGTTTCACAGAAGTGATGATTTAAAAATTATTATAAACACTAGGAGCTACAGGAAAGCCTTATACTTTCCGTTGTTGTCCTTTGAATGAATTAAAACCAGTTCAGTGGATGTTAGTAGTATATTGCTTTGCTTTTGGACCTAGAACTGGGTAAATTGTAAAAAAAACTGGCTGAAAAATGCATTAAAACGTTTCATGTGGGTAAATATTTCCATTTGAGAACTTTGATGATGATGAACTTTGAGGAATTTTATAGTATTTTGGTAAAACAAACAAGGAACGAACTTAGTTGCGCAAACCTAAAATAAGTGGACTGTCTGTTGAGTAGTGATTGTAACGCAGTGAGGATTCACTCCGAACTAGATATAAATATGAGTGTTACTCAGTCTGATCATTGGTAGAAACAGAGAAATATTTTCAGTGGATCCGCTATAGTGTGGGAATGTGTAATACTATCCTGGATTGTTATCCGTCTGTTTTGCATAAATCCCCCCATAAATACAGAATGATCTCCTCAGCCCAGTGATGTCAAATAAAAACTAAAGTTTTCCAGATTTTCAATTTCGAACAAGTCGGAATTCGGGGCAAAGTCTGATACAAATGGGCGCATAATGCATGCACGTTCAAGTATGGCAATGTTTCCTTAGAAATTCTGATGAATTTGTGTTAACCAGATATCGTTGGGTTATTTTAAGGCAAGCAGCTTGACATCATTCTTCATACTCCTGCAGGCTTCTCATTTATCGTATAGACCGGTGCAAGTATACCATTCCTAGGGTGAATTTTTATTTATACTGTATTCGTGAGGATTTCCACATTCAAAGTGGAAAATACCTGACTTCTTATACTATTAGTCACCAAAATATTTATACTTGTGTTTTCGTCAGCAACATCCCCAAATTATACTGCAGGTGAAGTCGAGAGCATAATTCTTTCAAAGCACTCTAACTAAAAGACATCTCGATTTATTATTAAGACCATGCGTACTTATCCGATAAGGATATCCTCTAATGTAAGGGTAAATAATACTGATGGCACATGTGAGTTGCATCCAGTCAGATGTCGAAGCTCCGTTTCCGCGTCTGATCCAAGATGGAGGTTGGTAAGGAATTTAAGCCATGGCTTCTAGGCGTTTCAATAAAGGATTCTTTGATGAAGGTTGTTCTTGTTTCTACTGGTAGAGGATGCCAACTGCGTAGTTTATAGGTGGAACGCATATCATCTGAGAGAAACGCATACTGAGTCACCCCGAGGTGCGTGGTGTCCGAGGAGTTAATACATACAGTGAGTTCATATGTAGAAACAGTACACTTCAGAATCTTTTAGGTTTAGATAAGATGCACTAAATCGCGACTTTTGAGGCTCACCTTGAAAGACAGATAATCTCCCAACAATCCCCATATGACTCGTCCAACTGCATTACATACGGAAGAAGCCATTGTAATGCCAGCCAGAAAGCTATCGTCACGAATATATTCCAGTCCGAAGAACTAAAATCGAAAGGTAATTTTTAGTTGAGATAAGTCCGCTGATGTAAGCAAAGTGAAGAATGGGAGATGATGCAATGCCACTCACTTTGCTGAGAGATGACAGCATTGTTTGAGGGACGAGAACGCAGCAGACGGACGCCCATAGAAGATAAAAATCGGCCGTCTGGAGAGCCTCCAGGGGGGTCATTTCCTTGTTGCTTGAAAGAGTAAAATAAGATGTTGTAGGCTGTAAAATTGTACGAAAATCGTTATCTTGAAAGATAAATCAGAAACATTAAATTTCTGGAATTAATAAGCGCACCAAACGTTCTTTGATCAGTGGGCGGGTTCATGTAAGCAACGACGGTATATTCAAAGTTTGCCCAGGCAAAAGCAGAGTAACAGTGACTTGAGCCATGTAACCGGATATTTCTCAGGAAACCGGTGATAGGTGCTAAATTGAATTATTAGGGCTTCCAGATTATAGTCAAAAATGCAGCGTGAAATGGCCATCTGTGCTTCATCAATCTCGCAAATTCTAGTTACAACGACGGAAGTTTTCAAGTCAGTCTACGGCGCTGAATATGTCCGTAAAATGTATGGCAACCTAAGGTTTCCCCACAGTCACACAGCCCAATGCAAGCCATCTGGGACTGCGGTTAAATCTTAGTCATGTGAGAAGATAGAGCGAATGTATGTAGCTCTTTTTTTATCAAAACTTTTCCAAATTTTAGGTATTCTGCTACCAGCAAACCACAAAATGAAGGATTCTTCTCATCAATTTTCTAGCCTGCGTTGAGGTTGACAGATTGGCATCAACTTATTCGTTAAAAATTGTTGACTACTTATGACGACACGAAATCGGCACAATCACGTTATGTCTAGTCAAGTGAGTATACTAGTTGACATAAAAAAACAATCAACCTGCGAGAACTGTGGAGGAATATACCATATCATCCTACTGCTCTTACTGTATTACTTTTCATGATTGCTGTGGACGAGTAGAATTCAAGCAATTTTAAAATCCGTTTGGCCACCTGCTGTGGTGACGACAAAGCGGGCCAGTCGAATTTTTATAAAAGCGTGATGTTTTTCAGGAGCTGATTATTCTAAATTATAGCGTTGTGCCCCCTGGATGAGGATGGTTAATCGCATTTAGTTCCCAAACCCAATGATGATATAGATTTGATTCGAAAGCGTCTTTTTACCTAATTCGCTACGTACGGATAAGTTTAATTAGATAAATATAAATGAAAAGATTTATGAATGATTCTTAATAGCCGACAGTTGGAACTGAAAGGATTGTGTGACTGAATATTTGGTTTTCTGACTCGATGCTGTCCGGAGTCTGCATTCTCTGAAAAGTACTCAAGTTACTCGAAAGTGAACTTAGGATCAGTGTTTCCGTAGTCACGATGACGTCAAACAAATAAATGGGGAAGTTGGGTGAGACCTGATATTCTGATTTCCAGGTTTCACGTTCCGGAAAATAATTCGACAGCCCACGACCGGTTTTACACTTCTTTCCTTCATGGAAATATGACGCAATATTCCAAACAGCTTATCTGGAACACTAGGAGCCAGCACATTTAGTTAAAAAATATCGTATACGGGTCTCCCGTGAAGATCAAATTGATTTGCATATGAGAGTATTTGTCGAAGAACGAATATCAGTAGTCTTCGTTCATTCGGAGCTCCCGAATTTTCCCTAGCTACACTCCACTGATAATAAAACAGCTTTTCTTGGGCTGATATTCTTTTTATTAGTGTCAATGCCTATCAGCAAGTTCAGGCATCTTAGGCGCACTTTGCAATTTTTATGAACTTCGTATTCAAAAACCAATGGATCAATACCGAAATCGGTATCTACATGTCACAGTGGAACACTGAGATTTAACTAACTTAGGTTTGGACATTACTCGTCCTATTTTTCGGTTTTTAATGATGTGGCCTCGTTTCATGAACGTGACATTTATTCTAAGAAAAAAATTGTTGTCATTGTGTCCTGACATGGCCAGCATTGCGATATTTCTGGTATAAGAACTACCCTTCGTCTTAGAATGGCTGGTGTGGTAACGATCGACAAGCAAATTATTCAAAAATGCGTTCTCAACGACTGTGATTCAGGCAGTCCATTTTATCTGGCCTACCGCACAAGAACTCATTAGTCATGAATTTTCATATTAATTAGTATTGCATGATGATTTCGCCCAAAACGCTAATGTTCTTCTGCCTTGACACTATGGTGAGAACATCTCGCACAACAATTCATCCCTACAGTGTAGTCATTTTGTAAATGCCCTCACCTCCCAAAAAAATTGTGGTATGTTTCGTCAGGATACCCTGACGACGTGGATCATAAAAAGTGACCATATTAAATTTTATTTCCTAGGGTGCAGCGTCAAAGCGCTCAAAATTCATTTGTAACGCACATGGAGTGTGTAACGCACAAGAGTGCAATTTTCTGTAAGGTATTTTTTTTTTTGTGGTGGTTAAATTGCTAATATCTCACAACCTATATTACCCAACTATTCGGATAAAGTGGAAAAAGCAGACAGAATTCCATATGAAATTAGGCCCTTTGTTGCTTATGTTCCAGTATTTTAACCAAATACATCAACCCCAAATAAATTTTCCAAACTTTTCTTTGTGCATTTATTTGCCTTCCCCAAACAGCTGATCGTTAACGGGTTGGTGAATTACGAATAATGGATCAGATCACACTAAAACCTGCCAATTTCTTCTTTAACTGCCCATGTGTTGCCATGTTTTTCAAATATATTTGCCAATTACGTTTTCTTCACTACTGTAACTTGGCATGTTTGACAAAGCAGAGTAAAATGACAATCTCTACAGAATTACAAATGACTGCTTTCATTAAATTCAGTGGCACATTGCAATGTACGGTAGGAGGGGATTTTGATAACGCCTACCTTATACCAGCATTTTCCGCGCACTCATCGTTCACTTTACTTGGTACCTGAAGTCAAATATAGGAATACTCTATATTTTTCGAATTAAATGATAAATATACTTTGGGCATCCACAGGCATCATCCAAAATGACGCCCTCTGTAAAATACCCATAAAATTCAATTAGTTCTTATTGTTTATTAGTTGGACAAATAACTAATTATTCAGACAAACTACTCCTCGTGCTTACTAAAATCTCAGCGTCACTAACCAAATTCTGCAATCTGTCTGTAAAACGGCTTTTCCTGTCACTAAATCTTCACTAATACAGATTTCTATGCCTGTCACCATCAGGCATAGAACCAAATTGTATCATGATGCGTTGCTTTAAAGAATCTTGGGTTTCTTTTGGTACGGGTGTCGTAAGAAAGTACAAAGCTTAGAGAGACCTCACTAAATATCTCAAACAGTATCGTGTAACAGATGAGCACAACTTACTCCGAGTTCCGCGGTTTTCTAAACAGAAAGGGTGAGCTTGCAGTTGAAGGCTTCGTAATTCATTACATCTTTCTTTTGTTTACTACATTTCTTGTTATTTTTATTGTAATACATGTTGTTTTAAACCTTCATATGTGGTGTTTTACTTAACTGGTGGCAGTTAAGAATGCTAATACCATTATTTAAAAACAATAAAGCTCTTGTTTGTATCACAGTACATATTGGGACGAGAGAAAGCTTCAACCAGATCACTTCGGTTCCTTCTCATTTTTGCACAACTGCAAATCCAAACGGCTATGATCGAAATGGATGGAGTGATCACTGCCAAGTTCCTTCTCATTTTTGCACAACTGCAAATCCAAACGGCTATGATCGAAATGGATGGAGTGAATCACTGCCAAATCTCTTTTTTTAGATCCCCTGACCCTACCAACATTATTTCCAAGAGGAATGTTGAACCGTAGAATCATGAAAGATGAGGATAAAATTTCTAATAAACGCGCACAAAATAAAGACGGGTTGAAGAAAAAGCTGGTTTTGTTTTGAAGAATGTAGATAAAAATGAGGTTGTGCACGTAAATTCATTACATTTGGGTGCTATTTCGAAACTGCTGACAGCAGCAAGCAGCAATGTATGTCGTCTTGTAAAAGCATAAATTTTAGCATGAGTCTACATCTTATGGTTCAGAATTTTGCTTGTGGTGGAGCTTTATATTGTGTTGAACAACCTTGCAATGAAAACGGAATAAAGAGCTGCTTATTGGAAAATTTGTGACGTGTAGCTGCATGTATAGATATAAGTTGACATGTGTCCCTTTTAGTCTCAACTGCGCCGCTGATACAATGAAAGGCGAGACCTGGAATTCGGCACTTTACTCACTCTGACGGACACACAGTTACGTTTCTAAACGAGCAGGTTAAAACCCCAACGTGTGCGCACTAAGCTAGGCGCCAATAAGTTTACTGATTACTAGAGTTCCGGGCCAATTTTCGAACATATAACAAGAGACACGTTGAATATCCGGGGTGAGTTTAGGATGTATGAATCGGTTCGCAGTGAAAACATAATATTTCTTGGTCTCCCAAATTGCAGGTTTCCCTGAGCTCAGCTAGGGGCCACGAAAGCGCTCCTCAAGGCAATGCCATTTTTGGCACCAACCTGCGAAGAGTATTCTAAACTGCCTAAAGAGGAACGGCAGTAACTGGCATTAAATATTGAAATTTAACCACGCACAATAGCACTCTTTTAAAGTGTCCGATACCTGCCACTGCAAATGATACATTTACCGCTTAATCAGCTATTCTATCCACGAATTCCAATACTCCCTTTCCCTTCATTAGTTCTATTTTTTTCGTGCCCAGAATTCAATTTGGTTAACTTTCACTGAAGTTTAAATACCTCAAAAAACTCACACCACAATGCTTCATCTCGATCAAAACTGTCATCATAACCCCATTTGACATTTTGCACCTCACTTCTCAGATTTTAAGTAATGTCATGAAAGTAGGTTGCCCAACAAACTACAGTGGTTTAAATCCTCTCTATTTTTCAGAAGAAATGTTCGTTGATCCAGTTAGGGTTACAGCCCAAGATACAAGTATGCACATCAGATACCCGACTACCGCTAGACCCATCTATATGATCCTTCAGGTATTTGAGGTGATTTTTTCTTCGAGCTAATAATAATGTGCCTGTCCCATGGGCAATTTTACTGATTGTCAAACGGTCCAGAGGCACTTAACAGCCTATTAATTCTTATTTAGAACCATTATCAGTACATTTTTATGCATCTCCAGGTCGAAGACAACCCATATGTTTGTCAAGGACGAATTTATTTGGTCAAATGTGAACCTGAAAAAAAG